GGAGAAGGGAGCGATGGGGGAAGTCCCATTCTGCCTCGAGCTTCTCCCTGACCTGACAGCTCGGTCCTTCCCCCATGGGGCCCAAGATCCCAGGAGCCAGATGCTGCCAGGCAGCCTGACTGTGTGCCCACGCTTGGGCCTGTTCTCCCCACTCCCCAAACTTGTCCGAAGCCCACCTTGAGGGGCTTTATTAGCTCAGACGTGGGAAGGAAACTATTAATGCATGTCAACGTGTTAGTAGCAGGTAACTGTCTGGATTATGTTCTCTTTTCTTTTAAATCAGGGGCGATGCCTTAACCTAAAGGAGTAAGTCCCCAGTGGTGGGACACAGGTGTGGACAGCAGGTGGGTTAGGAGGGAGCAGTTAGGAGGGTGGGGATTTCTGATGCCCCTGAGTTAATGTCACATTTCCGGGGGCCCCAGTATGTTAAAATGGTTGGGGACTACGTCTCTGTTGGGGTGCTTTGAGATTTTCCTCCCTTTGCCTGAATCCTCAAAGGTGAGTCCGAGGGCTGCCTAAATTTTCAGTAGTAGGGCCTCAATGTCATTAGATATTGTTGTCCATCATTTATTAGCGAGTCTGTTAAGGAGCTGGAACCAAATACCCAGACAGAGAAGAGACAAATGCACCCCTGAGTGAGGAGAAGTGATGGATGAGGGCCCAAAGCCAGTGGTGTGGGGACCGAGGCACTGGCACTGCATTTGTGGCCATTTACATAAAAGCCTAATATGCAAATTGTCCCCTCGGGAGTTCAACCAGGAGACTGGGAGTTTGATTGCTCGCTATGAGGTGTGCTGACCACCAGGGGGCGTTGGTGATGCAGTGCTGGCAGCAGTGGAGGTGCTGCCCGCCCAATGGGCCCTGATGAGAGCGGGACCACAGCGGGATGATAGAGCAAGTGAGCAGGCGGTGCCAGGCCAAGGCGGGGTGCCAGGTGGGGCTGCGAGGCTGGGGGCGTGAGCTGGGGCTGCTGGGGCTGCTGGAGCGAGACGGGCCGGTCCAGACACGCCCCGGAGCCCTCCTGTGGTCCCTTCCAGGCAGGCTAATCTCCCACATTCCCTCCCTGGCCTGCTGGCCCGAATGGTACCTCTGCAGCTGAAAGAAAGCAGCATCGTCGACAGAATATGTCTGAAAAACTGTCATGGACAAGTACCACCAATACTAGTAGGAACTGACTTCACAGCGAAACTGAAGTAAGTGAGGATGCAATTCTCGAACACAGCTGTGGTGGAATGACTGTTACATGTCACTAAATTTCTCCGATGAGAAGCCATCTGATGGAAAATCTACTCAATGTTTCAGCAAAGGTAAAGTTTGTCCAAATGATATAAATTTTCCAGAATGCCCGGCATATTTAAAAATTAATGATAAATGAAGATGTTATGGAAAATATTTGTTCCATAAATAGTTCTTTTGCTTTGGCTTCAATGGGTGCAAATATCACATTGCCATCAGGATATGGGCCATACTGTTTTATAATTCATGAACAAGTTTATCACCGTACTGGAACTTTACATCCTTCAGATGGTATTTCTCAGAAGTTTGCTCAACTCTACATTTTAGACTCAGCCGAAGTGACGAGTAAAAGATTAGCAATGCCAGAAAACCAGGGCTGCTCAGAAAGACTCGTGATCAACATCAACAACCTCATGCATGAAATAAATGAATTAACAAAATTGTACAAGATGCTACATGAGGTAGGAAAGGAAGCCCAATCTGAAGCAGTAGCGAAAGGTATTGCTCCCACGAAGTAACAATGGAGATTAAATATGATCATAACAGTGACCCGGGTAGATATAATTCTCCTCGTGTAACCAAGGTTGCCGTCATATTCAGAAACAAAGATGGAGAACTTCCTTTTGAAAGGGACTTGCTCATTCACTGTAAACCAGATCCCAATAATCCAAATGCCACTAAAATGAAACAAATCAGTGTCCTGTTTCCTACATTAGATGCAATGACGTATCCTGTTCTTTTTCCACATGGTGAAAAAGGCTGGGAACAGATATTGCATTAAGACTCAGAGACGACAGTGTAATCGACAATAATACTAGACAAAATGTAAGGACACAAGTCACACAAATGCAGTATTATGGATTTCATCTCTCCGTCCGGGACATGTTCAATCCTATTTTATTTTAAAAAAATATATATTTTATTGATTTTTTACAGAGAGGAAGGGAAAGGGATAGAGAGTTAGAAACATCGATGAGAGAGAAACATCGATCAGCTGCCTCCTGCACACTCCCCACTGGGTATTGCCCGCAACCAAGGTACATGCCCTTGACCGGAATCGAACCTGGAACTCTTGAGTCCGCAGGCTGACGCTCTATCCACTGAGCCAAACCAGTTAGGGCTTCAATCCTATTTTAAATGCAGGAAAATTAACTCAACAGTATATTGTCGATTCATATTCAAAAACGGAAGCCAATCAGATAAATTTCATTAAAGCAAACCAATCTAAGCTGAGAGTTGAAAAATATAGTGGTTTGATGGATTCTCTCACATCTAGATCTGAAAATCACAATGTGCCAATCGTCTTTTGAGGGTAGTCCCAGAAATATGCAGCAGCGATATCAGTATCAGGATGCTATGGCAATTGTAATGAAGTATGGCAAGCCCGATTTATTCCTAACCATGATGTGCAACCCAAAATGGGCAGATATGACAAATAATTTACAACGCTGGCAAAAAGTTGAAAACAGACCTGACTTGGTAGCCAGGGTTTTTAATATTAAGCTGAATGCTCTTTTAAATGATATCTGTAAATTTGATTTACTTGGCAAAGTTACAGCTAAAATTTATGTCATCGAATTTCAGAAACACGGACTGCCTCGAGCTCACATATTATTGATATTAGATAGTGAATCCAAATTATGAATGGAACACGACATTGACCATATAGTTAAGGCAGAAATTCCGAATGAAAACCAGTCTCCTTGACTTTTTCAAATTGTAAAATCAAATATGGTACATGGACCCTGTGGAATACAAAATCCAATATTATCTATTAAAATATTTCTTCTAATTATTTTCCTTTCAATGTGCACGAATTCATGCACCGGGCCACTAGTCAGATAATGTGCAGTTATCATGGGAGGGAGAAGTTTTGAGTGTTATATATGTAGGACAAAAATAACATAAATGTTGGAAATAAAGCTTCTCATGGATCCACTCAATCAACTTATTGGGAATTTAAGAAACAACAATGTGCCGAAACCGGTTTGGCTCAGTGGATAGAGCGTCGGCCTGCGGACTGAAAGGTCCCAGGTTCGATTCCGGTCAAGGGCATGTACCTGGGTTGCGGGCACATCCCCAGTGGGAGATGTGCAGGAGGCAGCTGATCGATGTTTCTCTCTCATCGATGTTTCTAACTCTCTATCTCTCTCCTTTCCTCTCTGTAAAAAATCAATAAAAAAAATATTAAAAAAAAAGAAACAACAATGTAAGCCCACCTGCACCAAATAGGCACCGTCTCATTTCCTCAATAGTATGTCAGGAACTTGGACAAGAATGCTGCTCCCTCTTGCAGTTGAAGAAACTGAGGCATGGAAATGTTAAACACACTTTCCTAGTAAGTTAGCAACCGGACCAGAAGTGGAACTCCTGATCCCGATTCCCCTGCAGCTGCGTGTGTAGGACTGTCACTATGGGCTGATGGCTTTGCTGGCAGAGCCCAGCTGCCCCTGGAAGTGAGGGCAGGGCACCCCAGTGCCCAGGACAGCGCTGGTGCACAGAGTTTGGTAAGTATTTGATGTACACCTGGAAAGTGTGGCAGTTTGGAGACCTTTCTACAGTAGAATTGAATCTTCATTTTGTTACTGTCTCAAGTTACGCAATTTTTGAGCCTTATTTTCCCACATCTCTAAAACAAGAACCAAAGGACTTCAGTGAGATGAACAATGTTGTTGGAAGGAGCACCGTGAGGAGCCCCAGCCTCTGACCTGCGGCTGGCCACAGGCGAAGGCATTCTTCTCCCACAGCGTAGACCAGCCGGGGGAGGACCTTTTCCAGGCAAAATAAAAAGCCCGTCTTACCTGCTCAGGCCGTTTTCCAGGTGATCAAGATCGCTGTCTGTGGCCCTCACCCAAGGGCCGGGCGGGTTGGGGTGGGAATACTGGGTGTTAATCTTGGCCATCTTCTTGCCGCAGGTGGTTGCTGAAACATGAACATGAACAAATACAATCAGGACTCAGGACGGGAAGGAGCTGCAGACCCAGCTCAGCTCGGTATAGTCTGGAAGGCTACTCCCCAGGGGTCCGTATTCCACTTCCTCCCAAAGTTCCTGCCACACTGTACTAGATGGGCATCTCTGGGCTGAGCTTCCCTGCTGAAGCGTGAACACAGTCTTTTCCTCCATACACGCTGCCACCCCGGAGAGCTGCTCAGAGTGGAGCGCTGACCCCGCGAATGAATGAGTGAATGAATGGCCAAGCTGCTGTCTGATTTCAGAAAGCTTCAAACCCTCATTCTCTGGGGGTAATGCATTCTCTTTCTTGACTCTGGTTTTCTCATTTATTTATTGTTTTAATCTGACATAGCTACCCCAAATTCTGTTTTAAAACAAAACATAACAATCTAATAAAAAATAAACTGATGAACAAAATAGATCCAGAGACATGGAAGCACCAGCAGACTGATGAATTTCAGAGGAGGGGGGTGGGGTGGGAAGAGATTAACCAAAGAACTTATATACATAACCCATAGACACAGACGATAGTGAGACAGGCCTGGGGAGGGGTGGGGGCAGGGGCAGGGTGGATGGGGTCAATGGCAGAAAAAAAGGAGACACCTGTAATACTTTCAACAATAAAGATAAATTGTTACAAATCTAATAATTCATGACATTCATAAAATCTTTACAAATGTGATGTTAAATCCAGTACATATTTCATTTCATTTAATCCTCAAAATAACTTAATCAGGTATTTTTGATTTTTAAAAAAATATTTACCCGAGGACATGCTTGGAGGGAGGGAGGGGGAGAGAGAGAGATAGAGAGAGAGTGAGAGAGAGAGAGAGAGAGAGTGTGAGAGAGAGATTGCTCCCCAACTGGGGATCAAACCCAAAACCCAGGCATGCACCCTGACTGGGAATTGAACCAGCAACCCTTCATGCACAGGCTGATGCTCAGCAAGCTGAGCCGCTCCAGCTGGGCAGATATTTATGATTTGTATCCTTATTTAAAAATGGCCACATTGATAGTCAGAGATGTTAGCAGCTTGTCCAAGCAAAGGAATAGATAAAGCCTGTCCATGCTGCCCTGGCGAGTGGCTCAGCTGGTTGGGAATCATCCTGTGCACCGGAGGGTCGTGGGTTTGATTCCAGGTCAGGGCACATACCTAGGTTTCCGGTTCAATCCCTGGTTGGGCACATACGGGAGGCAACTGATCACACATCAATGTTTCTGTGTGTGTGTGTGTGTGTGTGTGTGTGTGTGTTTCTCTCCCTCTGTCTCTCTCCCTTCCCCTCTCTCTAAAATCGATAAAAAAATTAATCATTAAAGAAAAAAGCACCAGTCAATGCCTGGTGCTAGAAACCAGAAGACGAATACTTTCCCACCAGCACACAGTGGGGATGTAAGCTGTGCAGCCACTTTGGAAAAAGGTTTCGCAGTCCCTCCAAAGGCTAAATATCGATGTACCACCTGCCCGAGCAATTCTGCTCCTAAGTACATACCGAAGAGAGATGAAAACACACATCCACACAGCAACCTGTACATGTGTTCATGTGTTCATGGCAGCATTATTCACAATGGCCCCAGGTGGAAACAACCTAAATGTCCACTGACTGATGAACAAAAGGGTATTTCTACATAATAGGATGTTGTTCAGCTGAAATGTTTTATGGCATGTGAATAATATCTAAAGATAAAAGTAATATTAAATCTAAAATAAAAACACTTTTAAAATGCAAAATTTAGAGTATCTCCTATAAGGCGCTCACAAAATAAAAATGTACCAAAGGGGAGAAACATCTAAATATCACAATAATAATAATAAAATAATAACCGCAACATTTTTGAGGGCTTTCACTATGCCAAGCACTGTTCTACATGTATTAACTCACTTAATCCTCACAATAACCCCATGAGATAAGTACTATTATCATCTCTATTTTATAGATGAGCAAACCGAGGTACACAGCTCACACAGCCGGGACTATGGCAGACAATCTAACTGCAGAGCCTGCAAGCTTAATCCCCTGCCTCTAGGAAAACAAGGGCACTTTCTGGGCGCAGTAAATATCAAAGCTTCCTGCATTTGCCCACGAAAGGCCCCAAAGGGCAGCTCCAGTCTTAGACCACGAGGGTATGCCCAGCTGTGCTCAGGCCTGAGCTTCCAGGTGCTGAGGGCAGGGAGGTGAGAGTCCTTGTCCTCCCTTTTCTGTGGAGCGATGGATACTGGTACATACAGGCAACCCCAGGGATGCCCCAAACAGACAGGGAGGAGTCTGAGTTAGAAAAGCTGAGCTCTCCCTCCTGCGTTTTTAGAACACGGGCAAAGGGAAGCTTGCATGTGCCAGATGCGGGTTTTCCATTCCTGCCTGAAAATAAAAATTAACATTGTCCCATGTACAGGAAGAGATCTGAAGTGAAAGAGATGCACTGAAATTGTAGCCAGGTTATCAATTATGTTACCCAACCCGCAGACAGCGGACTGTCTCATGCCTGGAAAGTGTCTTGGTCTCCTAGAGGTAACACAGGACAAATGGGCCTCTGGCTTCCTCAGCTCTCAGTGTGCTCAGTTTCAGAACGATGGCTTTGCAATAAGATTCAGCTGCTCCGGGCCAGGTTCCAGGAAGATGGAACTGCTTCCCAGATGTTGCTAGAGCTGGAGAACCCAGATCTCTGTAGCCAGCCCTACAGATGCTCTCCCCAGAAGTCCATCTGCTCCCCACAGCCACTCCACACTCTACACACACACACACACACACACACACACTCTCCCTTTCTTCCTCAAGGACCTGTTTCACCAAGCCTAGCTGTAGGCACAGGAGGTAAAGTGTGTTTTTTCCTCTTAATTAACTTTTTTTTGGGGGGATGTGATTATGAAAGGAATCCACTGTCATTGTAGAAAACTAGTAGCCCTGCGCACGAATCCGTGGGCCAGTAGGTTGCTGCCTGTAGCTCTCTGCCCGCTGCCCCGCCCTCCTGTAGCCCCCCCCCACTCCGCTCCCCCTCATAGATTGTTGCCCTGCCTTCTCCTGTAGATCTCCGCCTCCCACTTGCTTGCTGCCCTGCACTGCCCTGTAGCGCTCTGCAGCCCATTTGTAACCAGTAGGTCGCTGCCGCCCTCCTGTAGCTCCCCTTGACCCCTCCCCACTCACCTTCTTCCCCCTCCTCCTCCCCCCCTCATAGCTTGCTGCCCTGCCCCCTCCTGTAACTCTCTGCAGCTCTGCTTGTACCTCGCTGGCCCACCCTCCTGCTGATCCGTGATTTGCTTGGTTGTTATGCCTCAGGGCATAATGGCTAATTAGCATATTCCTCTCTTGTTATATAGGATAATAAGATGGTCATCTCTACCTTTGAGCACTTGCTATGTCAGGCACTGTTGGAAGAAAGGAATTCACTCCAATAAATTACTCCTCCCAACAATCCAACCAGGCAGGTATTATAACGATCACTTGTAATTTACATGGAGAAGCTGAGACTCAGAATGGTTGAACAATGTATTCAAAGTCATCCAGTAGAAGAACTGGGAATGTAGAGTTCTGCAAAGCAGGACGAAAGAGGCCTCCTGAGTTCTGCTCCCATCTTTGTTCAGGCCCTTGCCCCTCCCTGGGATTGTGGAAACAATTCCCATTGCTCACCTCCCGTCTCAGTCTCACCTCTGAACTCCACCCAGAGGCCGGCTCTCAGGAGGTGCTCAGCAGTGCGGTCCTCTCACTGACACAGGGCCTCTCTGAAAGGTAGTTTTAATCATGTCACCCAGGGACTCTCAGCGGTTGCCTATTTTCTCCAGCATAGAGTCTTAGCGTGACATTCAGGACTTTTCATAACCAGGGCCGTATCAGCCTAAGCAGGATGCTCCATTTAAACCAAATTGCTCACCCTTCCTTCAAGTGTGTCATGAACGTTCTTATCTCACCTATTGGCAGCGACTGCTCACTCAAGCTCACCCTGTGCTTCCTGCATTGCGGTCTCCCTCCCAGGACAGGTGAGAGCCAAGGGACAGGTTCTGGCCAGTGTACCCCTCCCATGATGCAGGCTCCCCCAAGTGCCTCATGTTAACCCAGGGTCGTCTGTGCCAGTTCAATGCCAACTTAAGATGTGGTGAAGGAGACTTGATTCAGTGCAAACAGCTCATGCAGCATGGCTACAGACCAGCATGGCTGCGAGGCCGCCCTCACCACTCAGGGGTGCTGAGACAAGACCACTCAGCTTCCAGCTGGAAAAGCCAGGCTTCACTGGAAAGGGAAAGTGCCCCCAGTCAGAGGGGAACTAACTTACACAGAGAGAAGTCCCCGCCCTGGTCCCTGATTGGTCCATCCTATGCAAATAAGGGTGCCAAATCTACACAATTTGATTGGCCCCAAAAGCACTGTCCTGATTGGTCAGACTGGAGCTGCTCTGATTAGTAGGAGAAAATGCTAATGAGGATACAGCTGTGTAGCTCCAATTGGACAGAAATCTTAGTCCTACCTGCTCCTGACTAATCCATAAGTCTTTGCTCCTGCTAGCTTCTCTGCCTAGAGAGAGGTTTTCCCTTCTTGCTCCCAGTTAGTTGAAATTCCTTTCATCCTTCAAGTTCAACTCCAATATGATCTCCCCTGGGAGGCCCCCCCTGATCAGGAGTCAGTCCCTCCCACTCTCTCTATTCTCAGGGCACCGTAATCACCTCTGCTTCAGCCCAGAGCACAGGCGGGCTTACCCGGGGTGAGGGCTGGTCTCCCACACTGACTACCCCACCATGTCCAGAGTGGACTGTGTCTGTTCAATTCTGTTTCTTCCACAGGGTTTCACCTGGTGATTTGTACTCAGGAGAACTCAATGTGTGGCGGACATGAATTAGTTCAGAGGGAAAACCATTTGCTCCCTGGATTCCATTTATGCAATTGGGGGATAAGGAAAAAAGCTTGATCCATTTCAGTCAGAGGCCCCAGTGGTTGGTAGGGATTGGAGAGGGTTTCAGCTGA